GTTAATACGCAAAATTTATGAAGACCTCATACAACTCAATGCCAAACAAACAAACAATCAAATTAAAAAATGGGCAGAGGACCTGAATAGATACTTCTCCAAAGAGCACATACAGATTGCCAATAGACATATGAAAAGATGCTCAAAATCACTAATCATCAGAGAAATGCAAATTAAAAGCACGAGATATCCCCTCATACCTGTCAGATTGACTATCAGTATAAATCAACAAACAACAGGTGCTGGGGAGAATGTGGAGAAAAGGGAACCATCCTGCAGTGTTGGTGAGATTGTAAATTAGTGCAGCCACTGTGGAAAACATTATAGAATTTCCTCAAAAAATTACAAATGTAACTGCCTTATGACCTAGCAATTCCACTACTGGGTATTCTAAGAAATCTAAAACAATAATCCGAAAAAAGGTATGCACCCCTTTGTTCATTGCAACTTTGTTTACAATATCCAAAATATGGAAGCAATCCAAGAAGCCATCAATAGACAAATAGATAAAAAGTAGTGATAGACATATATGCAATGGAATATTACTCGTTCATAATAAAGTATGAAATCTTACCATTTGCAACAGCATGGAGTGACCTAGAGAGTATTAAGCTAAATGAAATAAGTCAGACAGAGAAAGACAAATACCATGTAATTTCACTTATATATGGAATCTAAAGAACAAAATAAATGAACAAGAAAAATAGATACAGACTCAGAGAGAGAACAGACTGTGATATTTGCCAGATATAAGGGGGGTTGGGAGGAGGCTGAAAAAGGTGAAGGAATTAAGAACTACACATTGATAGTCACAAAATAGTCACAGAGATGTAATGCACAGCCTAGGGAATATAGTCAATAATATTTTAATAACTATATATGGTGCCAGGTAGGTACTTGAAATATCCAGGGAACCACTCTGTAAATTACATGATTGTCTAACCACTCTGCTGTACACCTGAAAGTAATACAAAATATTATTGAATGTAAACTCTAATGAAAAAATAAAAGAAAATTATAAATTATACATACGAGTGTGCGGCTTATTAATCTTGAGCTTTTCTGTTCGATGCTGTGGCTGTGCAATTTGTTAATGAACCACTAATATTAAGAGTGTTAGATCTTCTGAAGCTAGTCATTTCCCTTAACAAATTCACTCATTCTTTCGCCTGGTTGGTAAAAGAGAAAAGGATCTCGCGACTTTCACCTTGGGGCTGAGAGGGAAGGGTTACTGAGTGCTAGTTCCAGTGGGGCCCACACAAAGGAGCGCACATTTGATGGAACTTGTATCTGAGTCTCCTTATTTCACCACCCTCTGCTGTGTCCTCATTTTTGAGGCAACTGATTGTATTTGCCAGGATTGAATAAATTATTCATATCGGTAAAAAAGCAAATCCCTATTTTCTGGGGCTTAGTATAACAAAGCTCTGCTATATATCACCCATATCAGGGGGTCCAAGCTAAGGGACTCTCATATTTGCCAAGGCAGAAGGGAAGGGAACAGGCTGAAATATACGCTGGTCCTTAAAATGGCTTATCCTTACTTAGTGGGGAACCTTTTCTCTGCCCAGGGCCATTTGGGTGTTTATAACATCATTCACAGGCCATACAAAATTATTAGCTAAAAAATCAGCCTGCTATATTTGGTCAGGCGTGTGATATTACCTGGTATTGATTTTGCGGGCCTTATTCAGCCCAAGGGCCAGATGTTCCCCATCCCTGCAAGTACAATTGTACAATATGCCTAGGAAGAGAACCCAGAAATATTGGTAGACAGCACCAATGATTTTTTTTATATTGCTGCGGGTAGTTCCTCCTCAGTCTTTTCTGTATTCTCTATTGCCAATTGGTTTATTCTCCAGCTTCTCCCAGCTGATTTAGGATTTTTCATTTTAAATGGATAAACTGGTTACCACGTGTTCATTTTGATGTTGCTGTTATCTTTTCTCCTATTCTTGCTGTTACTTGGGGGAATATCTTTAAAATAATTTTAGTTTTTGTGGAGTTTCAGAAAAGAATGAAATTGGAGGCATGTATACAGTCTGATATATATATCCGAAAAGCTATGGTTGTAATTTTCTATAAATTGAATGAGCTAATTCTGCAATTTTACAGTTTTACTGAAAATAATTTAAAGACTGTGATAAGGTAGATGTTTTATAAAAAGATTTTGTTATCAAGCTTGTACTGATGTGAACAAAATTTTGATCTCACAGTTCTTTCTCTGTATATTGGATTTTAAAAAGGTGTTTCTAAATGAAAGCAATTAGAAGTAGTAGCAATTTGTTGAATCTTAGAAAAATCGGTTTATTAAACTTCCCAGATCTAATATTTACTTAGGGATTTATTACTTACAAATCCTTCTGCAAGTCATAAAGCTTCAAATGCTTTACTTTTATAAAACTTAAAGTAGCCCCTAATTTAGTTATTCTATCAGTTATCTGCCGTCCCCAAAATATTGCTGAACAACCAACCATAAACTTTACTGACAAACCTCATTTTGTTTGTTACACGTGTGTTTTTCTCATGAGACTGGAGGTGGCCTGGGCAGTTCTGCTAACAGAAGCTTGGCTGGGGTGATCGGCTAGGCTTGCCTTGCATCTGGGCTCATCTGTGAAAGACCAGACAGCATGCTGGTGGAGGCGGGCCAGCCGCCGGCGCGGTGCCTCAGCTCTACTCCGGGTGGTCTCTTATTTACTAGTAAGCTTTCCTGGGCATCTTCGTCAGTTCTGGCTGCTGTTAAAAGAATACTATAGATTGGTGGTTTAAACAACAAATATTTATTACAGTTCAGGAGGCTGAGAATTCCAAGATCAAGGCACTGACGGAGTAGGTGTCTGGCGAGAGCTATTTTCCCAGTTTGCAATGAGCTACCTTCTCGCTTTGTCTTCAGGTAACAGAGAGAGGGAGAGGGGAGAGAGGAGAGAGGGCGCTAACGCTTCTTCTACAAACAATAATCTCGCAGTGGGGGATCCACCTTCAGAGCCTAATTACTTCACAAAGTCCCACCTAAAAAATCATCACATTAGGGTCTCAACATATGAATTTTGGGGGAGGGGATACAAACATTAGGTCTATAACACTGAGCCTTTTCTCATGGGGGCATCAAGGTCTCAAAAGAAAAAGAAAAAAGCGTATAGATTCTAGGCTTGGAATCGACACAAAACCACCTTTGCTACATTCTGTTGGTCAGTGTAAGTCACAAGAACGCCCAGATCCAAGGTATGGGAAAATAGACTCTCCTTGATTAGAAGATTCATAGCATAAAATTGCAAAGGATGTGGATATAGGGAAGGGTGTGAATTAGGTCTGGCTTTTAAAACTTTATCTTCTAGAGATGTCAAATGATAATTTTTGATGACAAAAATGTAAATGGGGCATAAACCTCTGAAGGAGTTTAAAGACTAAATAACCTTGCCAGAAGTAAATTCCTTTTGTTTTTGGCCATGGATAAGTTTTCTCAATGCTACATATACATTAAACATCTTCAAATAATGCCTCAATCCTCTCATTCAAAAATAGCTCATACAGATCATTATCAAGAGATGATTTCTAATATAATTTTATACTTTATATTTAATAATTACTTATAAAGTTGAAGATATATATTATTTTAATTGTGTATATTATAATTATAACAAAATTCAACTTCCCAACATATTTTTAGGTGGATATTGGTATATGGCAAGTCACTATTTCATTGGCTGCAATTACAAAGTGGGTATATCTTAAAAGGTCATTACTTAAAATATGGCATTAAGTATATTCTTTCTCATTGTTATACTTAGGATGAAAAGTTTAAATGTCAGCTGAAAAGTGTAGAATATCATATAGTTAAAAATGCACACATACATATACATATTCATGTGTATGTATGTATGTAAAGGTTGCAAGGAAGAAAGTAAACTATTTAAAGGTGGTTGCTTTGGGCCTTTGATACTCTGTCACCCCGGCCTCTCTGTTCTTGCCTCCATATGGTGTGATCTAGAGCCCTCCATTCTTATATCATTCTTTTAAAAAAGTCATTTATTATCATTTTTTTTCTGTATGCACAAGTGATTACTTTTCATTATAAAATATAAATTATAAAGGACATTATGAATTTATTTGACTCAGAATCATTGAAATGATAGCACCTTTGTTCCCCAGTGAGTGTTGCTGAAATTTCTTGACTCCTGGAGGTCTGAAGCCCTGCTGTCCAATGCGGTATCCAGTAGACACTAGTGTATCTAAACTCCCAAGTGTGGCTCACATGTACTCTTAATAGATAGCACAGACGGCACCCCAAATGTAAGGACCCTGAGGAGAACCTCCTCTGTCCCCAGAGGAATCAAAGAGCCATATGACTTATGTTTTTCCCTTTTTACCATTTGTGTAATATTTTATTTATTGCATGGCTGAGCGACACTAGCACAGATTTCCAGTTATTATGAATATAGATGCTCTCATAACACCATGCACTTTTTAGCACTTATCGTGGTTGTAAAATAGTACTTAAGATATTCTGTTTCTGTTTATCTTGCCCACTCCACTGTCAGTTCAATGAAGTCTTGCCCACCATTGTACTTCCAGAGCTTAACTAAGCTGAAGGGGCCCATGGTAGATATTTATTAAACACTCAATGAATGAATAAAGGATCCTTCTTGTATACAGTGGCATGTTTCAGTTTCCAAATGAGAAGGGAGTGGGATGTAACAGCTGAGATCCAAGCCCCACTGAGATCCCTAAGTGATTTCTTTATCAGGTGAGATTCTCCCCCATATTTTTTAGAGCTCAATAAGATCAAGCTATTAAACTGTTATCCAAGAGATAGTCAGAAAATGATAAGGGAGTAGGGAAAAGTCATTTCTTCCCTCCACAGGTGCCTACTGTGTATAGTTATTAAAGAAAGATGATTGACGATGACTAGAGAAGGAGGTTCCTGGGGAGTGCTGGGTATCCCTGGAGGCCTTGAATGTGAGGTGACTCACCTGCCTTTCCTCTTTTTTCGGTTGTTCCAGAGCGCTGCGATGACTGGGGGCTAGATACCATGAGGCAAATCCAAGTGTTTGAAGATGAGCCAGCTCGCATCAAGTGCCCACTCTTTGAACACTTCTTGAAATATAACTACAGCACAGCCCATTCCGCTGGCCTTACTCTGATCTGGTATTGGACTAGGCAGGACCGGGACCTTGAGGAACCAATTAACTTCCGCCTCCCTGAGAACCGCATTAGTAAGGAGAAAGATGTTCTCTGGTTCCGGCCCACCCTGCTCAATGACACAGGCAACTATACCTGCATGTTAAGGTAGTCTGATTTTTGGTGGTGACCTTCTCTTTTCTTTAATCCTTAGGCCTTTCTCCAGATGATGCATGTGCAATGAAGCTGGGGAGGGGAAGGATGCATCTAGAAAGAGTTAACACTTCACTTCAGTGGGTTAACTAAGCTTGGCTGAAAGATGTGTGAGGAGAAAATGGTTGTGCTGCTGAGACCATTCTTCGTAGGTGGTTACTTTTCAAACCCTGACATGTATCAAGGTTGTCTAAAGGTAGAGCCTTGTTGATGTGTCCTCTTTCCTGACATCAGAACCTGCCTACACTGCGGACCCACCTGGAGACATCTATTCTTACAATAAGCAGGGCAGGGAGAAGGACGCATTTGTATCTGTTACTGTCATTTTTCAAAGTGCCTGGCACAGAATAAAACCCCCAGATGCCTTTTACAAAGAAAGAATATTTGAGAGGTATCAAATGTATTTAGAACAATGCTTTTCAAACACTTTTACCAAAATTCCCCTAAGAAGCAGACACCGTATCCCTGGGAATCTAAGAATAGACTCCAGAGCACCCTATCATTATGCAAAATTTCTTTCAAGCCCACTTTTTCCTTGAAAGTTCATGTAAATTTTGCATTTTATTCCACACTATACTTACTTTTTTCTTTTACTACGAATTGTTATTGCTCTGAAAAAAAAAAATTAAACTGAGGCCCCTCTGGAAAATAATCATATTAAAGCTTAGTTCTTTGGCTACTTTTTTCCCCAAGGTTTCTTTTTGCTTCCAAGCTTTATTTAATTTTTTTTTTTAAATCCTTACCAAGGATATTAATCTTCAGATGGAGTGGGAGAGGATGAGAGAGAGAGAAAGAGAGAGACATATCGATTGGTTGCCTCCCGCATGATTCTGACCAGGGCCGGGGACCAAACCACAACCAAGGAATGTGCCCTTGACCGGAATCAAACCTGCGATTCTTTGGCTCACTCTAACCACTGAGCCAAACTAGCCAAAGGGCTTTACTTTATTTTTAAATTCTCGTCTGTGTTATGAGTCGTTGTTGTTGTTGTTTTTTTAACATTATTTCCTACTCTTTAATAAGTACATTGGTTTTCTAGGGCTCCATAACAAAATACCACAGACTGGGTGGTTTAAACAACAAAAAATGTGTTTTCTCACAGTTCTGAAGGCTAGAATTCCATGATCAAGGTATTGGCAGGGTTGGTTTCATTCATCTTTCCTTGATTTGTTGGTGGGCGTATTTTCTCTATGGCTTCACATGGTGTCCCCTCTGTCCTTATCTCCTCTTCTTTCTTTCTTTCTTTTTTTTTTTTTTCAATTTTTATTAATTTAATTTTGTTACAGATGTTTTTCCTTTTTCCCCCATAGACACCCTCCTCCCCATTCTGCCCTCCCAACTCCTCAGCATTGTTGTCTATGTCCATTGGTTATGCTTACATGTATATAAGTTGTTTGGTTTATCTCATCCATCCCCGCTGGCCCCCTTCTCTGAGGTCTGTTAGTCTGAACCATACTCCTTTCTGTGTCTCTGGGTCTATTTTATTCATCAGCTTATTTTGTTCATTATATTCCACAAATAAGTGAGATCATTCACTTTCTCTGATTGACTTATTTTGCTTAGCATAATGCTCTCCAGATTCTTCCATGTCATCTCAAAGGATAAGAGATCTTTCTTTCTTACAGCTGCATAGTGTTCCATTGTATATATGTACCACAGTTTTTTTATCCACTCATCTACTGATGGACACTTGGGCTGTTTCCAGATCTTAGCAATTGAAAATAGTGCTGCTATGAACTTAGGGGTACATATATTCTTTCTGATTGGTGTTTCAGGCTTCTTAGAATATATTCCTAGAAGTGGGATCACTGGGTCAAATGACAGATTAATTTTTAATTTTTTGAGGAAACGCCATATTGTTTTCCATAGTGGCTGCACCAGTCTTATCTCCTCTTCTTATAAGAACATCAGTCACATTGGACTAGGGCCTACCCATGGGACCTCATTTGACCTTAATTATGTTTTTCAAGACTTATCCCCAACTGCAGCCATATTGTGAGGTACTGGGAGGTAGGTCTTCAACATAGGAATTTTGGCAGGACACTATTTTGTCTGTAACAATAAGGCTGAAAAACAAAGTACAACCATTTAGAATTACGAAACAGAACAATAGGCAGCCCCAGACCTTCTTCTGAATGCCCCGTCTCTCGTGGGTGTTGACTGTCCTCTGATGGAGAATTAGGACTATGCTTTGATAAATTTACACTCTATAATGGTTAAGTGAAGAAGGACCTCACTCTATCACAGAAACACATTTTGGTCATGATGGCCTTGGGAGTCCCTCAAACTTCTGAAGGCCCTCCTGAGGCTTTCACAGGACTGTTGAATTTTATTGCAGTGGACTCCAAACTGGTGTGTGGGCTGTGGAAGGGACCTGGAATAGTTCATGTGCCCGTTATTTATATCCTAATACTTTCTGGGAAAGGTTATACAGTATTTTAGTGGAAAGAGCACTGGATGAGAAGACAGAAACCTAGGCTCCCATCCCAGTTCTGCCACTGCTTAGCTGGTGACCATCGCCAAATCAGCCCATGTCTGTGAGCTTTGGTATCTATATATTTGCACAAGAAAGTCAACCTAAATGCTCTTTGAGCTCCTTTCCATTTTTGATCGTTGTTAATCCATTTAACATTCCCACATGGAATTGAGCAAATAACTGGGAAGAGGTCATGGGTAGCTTTCTGGTCTCCACTGTGCATTCTAATGCTTCTGTATCTCTATTTCCTTGTTCTCAGCAAGCATCTACTTGTCTAGAGCTCTTCGCCAAACTTTTCTAACCTTCTCTGACGTTACAGGAGCAGATGTGCATGGCTGTTAAGGCCTAAGTATACCTTTAATGTTATTTAATAATTTTCAGATTATCTCTGCAGTTTACCTTACTATTTTCTATGTGTCTAAAGAAAAGTTTAAAATCAAACTTGTCTGGTTGGGGCACCAGGCACTTCTCATTGTCCTGAGGTGATTCCTAAACTGAGAAAGACAAACTGAACTACTGAAATTATGGGCCTGCTGTCTTTTTCCCCCCATCACCATTTATCCTCTCTGTGCCCTTTTCCACCTCCACCTACCCCCTCCATTCCCCCAAATCACCACACTGTTGTTCATGTCCATGAGTTCTCTCTTTTATCTTTGGTCAGTCCCTCCACCAACCCCAATAGCCCCACAACCAGAGCAGTCTACCTGTTCTCTATTTCACTTAGCATAATATTCTCCAGATCCATCCACACTGTTGAAAAGGATATAATTTTCTTCCTTTTTCGTAGCAGAGTAGTATTCCATTGTGTAAATGTACCACAACTTTTTTATCCACTCATCTACTAATGGACACTTGGGCTTCTTTCAAATCTTGGCTATTGTAAATAATGCTGCAATGAACATTAGGGATACATATATTCTTTTGAATTAGTGTTTTGAGTTTCTTTGAATAAATTCCCAGCAATGGAATGGCTGGATCATAAGGCAGTTCCATTTTTAGTTTCTTGAGATAACTCCATACTGCTTTCCACAGTGGCTGCACCCATCTGCATTTCCACCAACAGTGCACGAGGGTTCCCTTTTCTGCACATCCTTGCCAACACTTCTTGTCTTTGAGGTCATCAGATTAAGATTCAACTTCTAGGATTTTACTTCTTATATTCTTTCTTTAATACCCCTATTAAGATGACATCTAGATTTCTTTGTTTGGAGCTGGAAATGTCATCCCAATCACTGTTCATTGCCTTTTTAAAAAATCAGAAAATGGCCCTGGCCGGTTTGGCTCAGCGGTTAGAACATCCGCCTGCGGTCCTGAGAGACTCGGGTTCGGTTCCCGCTAAGGGCACGTACCTCGGTTGCAGTTTGTCCCCGGCCCTGGTTGGTCGTGCGGGTGGCAGCCACTCGATGTGTCCCTTTCACATCGATGTTTCCCTCTCTCTCTCTTCCTCTCTCTCCCTCTCACTCTATCTGTACAAAAAATGGAAAAATGTCCTCGGATGAGGATTAAAAAAAAAAAAAAAAAAAAAAAAAAAAAAATCAGAAAATGTATCTTATTAAGTTGAAATTTACCTTCTATAACTTCCATCTATACAATACTTTTATCTGGTAGACATTTTGTTATTTGTTGGTAGAGATCATGCCTGCCACTTTCCCTTTCTACCTTATTATCATTGTCATAAGCCATCTTTATGTACTTTCTCCTTCCATCTTGGTGAAGGGAATGCGTACCCACACCTTCTATTGTATTTAGTCTTCATTTGTGAGTTCTTGAGGATCTAATACGTGTTTGACACCTTAAATAGAAATTATTAAAAGGTTGGGCTCATTTACTCATCACCCCCAAAATCACTTATTTTTATTATTTATGTTTCCTTCATTGTTTTCCTGTATGTACACACAAGTCTTACAGCTATCCCATTCATTTTCACAAATCTTTATTCAACATCTACTGAAAGGTTAGATACTGTACAAGATGCAAGGAATGCAAGAAAACATACTTGGTCATGCCCTTGTTTGAACTGTGATAAAGCAAGAAGAACATAACAGCAAATGAACACAAGGAAATGTTTGAGGAGCTCAGAGAAGTAGAGATCTAATTTAGGGTGCATAGAGGATCACATATAAGACTTCCTTGTGAAAGGTGAGGTGATGGGATAAGGAGAGTCCTCCAGCAGACAAAACAGCCTGTGCAGATGTTAAAAACATAAGTACGACCCTCCAGCCAGCCTAACAGCTTTATGTGTTTGTTAGTGTTTTCCTTCATGCTTGATTTTTTTATAGATATGTACACAGCTTTTAATGATTGTACCATACTTTTCATTAAAGTCTTCTTTTTTTTGTAGATTTTTCTATTATTTATTCAAATGTTTTCTTTGCTAATATAGCACTGGATAGACATTTTTAAAGTATGTTTTTATTTATTTATTTTTAATTGTTTCTTTATTGAGTTTTAGAGAGAGAAGAAGGGAGAGGGGGAAAGAAATAGAAACATTGATGAGAGAGAACATCGATTGACTGCCTCCTGCATGCCCCCAAACTGGGGATTGGGCCCACAACCTGGGCATGTGCCCTGACCGGGAATCGAACTGGTGACCTCTTGGTGCATGGGTCAATGCTCAACCACTGAGCCACACCAGCCAGGCTAAAATATGTTTTTATTGATTTTTTAAGAGAGACAGGAAGGGAAAGAGAGATAGAAACATCAAAGTGAGGGAGAAACATCAATTGGCTGCCTCCTGCATGCCCCCCACTGGGATTTGAGCCCACAACCTGGGCATGTGCCCTGACCGGGAATCGGACCAGGACCTCCCAGTCCATGGAACGACATTCAATCCACTGAGCCACATCGGCCGAGCTGGATGGACATTTTTGATATGTGCTCTTCCTATTACCAATTTTTCATAAAACTGTCATGTGAGAAATTTTCCAGAAATAAGATTACTAGGCCAAAAGCTAAGACTTTTTATAAAATGATTTTGGAAACATATTTATTTTCTAAAAGTTGTTTATACCATTATCAACCATGAGTTAATATGGTGTACTCAGCACTGAATATTATTGAGAATGTTTTAAGGGTAAAATTAAATATACATACACACACACACACACACACACACACATATACATACACACATATAAATACACACAAATACATATGCATGTTAAGGAGCATATCTAAAAAAATAAGTATTTTAATATATCAATAGTAACTAATTTTGTGTTTTTATTCTGTGATATAATTTGATATGAAAATATCTCCATACCATATTTAATTTTTACATGAACTTGCACATATGAAGTCTCAATACTTAGCATTACTTCACTTAGCTTATTTCATTGATTTTTTTTTAAGGGAGAGAGAAATAGAAACATCAGTGTGAGAGAGAAACATCAGTTGGCTGCCTCTTGCACGTCCCCTACTGGGGACCCAGCCCTCAACCCAGGCACATGCCCTGACCAGGAATCGAACCGGCACCTCTCAGTCCATGGGACTACACTCAGTCCACTGAGCCACAGAGGCCAGGCCACTTAGCTTATTTTAATGTATTTATTGTATTAAGACAAATGTAAACCAAAGGACTTATATGCATACATGGATCACCAAAGGACATGGATAATATTGTGGTGAAGGCGGGAGGGTGGGGCAGGGGGAGGTGGCGAAAGCAGGGAGAAGGGGGTCAATATTGTAAAAAAAAAAAAAAAGGAGGGACATCTGTAATACTTTCAACAATGAAGATACATTTTTTAAAAAATGTAAACGAGTGCCCATTCATTGCATATTTCTCTTTTCAGGAACACCACATATTGCAGCAAAGTTGCATTCCCTCTGGAAGTTGTTCAAAAAGATAGCTGCTTCAATTCTCCCATGAAAGTCCCAGTGCATAAACTGTATATAGAATATGGTATTCAGAAGATCACTTGTCCAAATACAGATGGATATTTTCCTCCCAGTGTCAAACCAACTGTCACTTGGTATATGGTAAGAAAATTGGAAAGCATTTTACCCTCTAAATGGCAATAATTATTTGTTGAGTTAATGTAGAAACAGATTTTTCTAATCAGATTTCTATATCTTCTTTAGTGACTTTATACAAATCTTTTACTGCTTCCTCACCTTGTAACATTTTAAAGGAAGTGCTGGAGAACACGTTGCCTCAACTCATCATTCCTTAAAGTGTATTCACTGGGCTACTTAAACTACCTTAGTTCTATTAACTTCCTATGAAATACAATTTGAGAAATGCTGCCCACTTCCACTCTCTGCTCAGTGACATCGGAAGCTGCTAATTCAGCTGGTGAATTTCAACTCCTTGACGAGTCAGTACTGTATTCTATTACTTGTATGTATTTTTGCCCTCATTTATAGACACAGTCCATCTGTGGTTCCTTCAACATCTCAGAGATTTGGGAAGAGTTTAATAAAAAATGATAGTGTTAGAAGGCGGAGCGTGTGACAGCAGCATAGATTTTTTTTTTCCTCATCCAAGGACATTTTTGCATTTTTCTTCAGATAGAGTGGGAAGGAGAGAGAGAGAGAGAGAGAGAGAGAGAGAGAGAGAGAGAGAGAGAGAGAGAAACATTGACATGAGAGAGACACATCGAGTGGTTGCCACCCACACAGGCCGGGGACAAACTGCAACCAAGGTACATGCCCTTAGCGGGAACCGAACCCAGGACTCTCTGGTCTGTGGGCTGACACTCTAGCTGCTGAGCCAGACTGGCCAGGGCCAGCAGCATAGTTTTTTAATCTCTTCAAATATCCACATAAGGCAAAGCCAAGAACTGGACAGCATGTAAAACAAAACTCCGTGTTAAGTTATCCACAAGAATCACTTTCAATAAAACAAGTGAGTCACACCGCAGACAGGGCCCCTATAAACTCTGTGTCTACAGGGAAAAGGAGTAGTCGGAAGCAATGTGGAATCTGGCAGACCTGAGCAGAGAAGCCCTCAGAAGTCAGTGGGTACTTTCTGGAAAGTGTGATGAGCCAATGGAAGAACAGCAGCTGCAGTTGGGAAGGGGAGGCAAAGATGCCTATGGTGAGAAATTCTGAAGGGTTTGGAATTGGTCCAGTGCTCTGGAACTCTGTGAAACCACCACCACAGTGAGGGGAAATGGCTGGAGTACAATCAAAAGTAGGTCAGATCAGGATCATACAGGCGGGGCAAGAGTAAGGTTACAATTGTGAGTATGCAAAACACAGACTTTGTTCTTGTATTACTATTTATTACATACTGTATTTTCCAGAGAGACAACTATAAACACACTTTTGCCTGACCCCACGGTAAGGAGTGAAGAGAAGGACAGGTGCAGCAGAGCAGGGTCAGGAAATTTGAAGACCATATTTTTGGAGAGGTATCTCTGTGAAGTTAGAAAATCTTGCCTGGTTATAAAACTTAGGGGAAAAAAGAACTAGTTTTGCATAAAAGTGAGTAGCAAGAAGAATCAAGCTAAAATCCACCATTCAAAATTATAAGAAAAAGGAGAGTAAGAATAACATGCTACAAAAAAAAGCATGCCAGAGGACATATTTTAACCAACTATTGCAAAAATGAACTAAAAACATTAAATGAAACAAAATGAGAAAGAATAACAAATAAATTGGAGTTACAAAAATTCAATAATAATAAAACTCAGAACTAGAAGAAAGTCATTTTAGAAATGAAGCTAAACTAAGAGGAACATAACAGCAAATGAACACAATAGATAATGTCTTAATTTTAACAGAAAGAGGAAGTCAGAAGAAAAGTTTTAATCAAAATTAAATGATGAACAAAAATAAGAGGGATAGAAGTATATACTAAAATCATATAAAATAGACTTTAAGACAATGAGTATTAATAGAGATAAAGAGGACTTTTCAGAATAATAAAAGGGTCAGTTCATAAGGAAGGCATAAAAATAATAAAATTATATATGCCTAATTACAGTGTTTCAAAATGCATGAAAAAATGTTGACAGAAATAAAGGACAAAATAGACAATCCTATAACCCTAATTAAAATTTTAGCATCTGTCTCTACCTGTTTAAGTTATTAATGGAATGACAGGCGCCAACTTGAAGAGTTTTCTATTGGCCAAAATGGAACAATTTGAATTTCGGTAAGGACATTAATTGCAATAGGTCAAATCCTGTGAATTAAGTTTAAATCCATAAATTCATGATCCTAGTTTAAAATATTTAATTGGTCACATTTGAAAGATAATAGGAAATCAATTTACCTTGAAAACTGGTAAAGGGGAACATATTAAGTATTTATTCTGCCTTTCCTGTAAGAAATGTATACTGTGTTATGAAATGGGGCAGAGAAATATGTTTCTATTTAAAAAAAAGTAAATCCTTGTAACCCCTAGTGATTTAGTTAATAAATCTAAGCATTAAGCATCAATGACAGCTACCATCACAAGAAGAGTAACAGCCAGATATATGCCTTCTGATGAAAGAACAATATCAATTATAATTGTGCCAAGTGGATTAAACTTTTAGATACTGCTGATATTTTGCAGGAAGTATAGAGAACAGAAGAATGTAGTGACCTGCACCATGAGTTTGTAGTCAGAAAAATCCAAACTGAAAAATTCTATATGCCAAATGCCTTGGGTTTCTCAACAGATAAATTGTAAGAAAAACAAAGGCATGATGTGGGAATGTATTGATTAAAAGAAGTATATAAGACAAGTTTAAAAATGGATGGGTCTGTAGTGTCTAAGGATGCACATATGGGTGATAGAATCATAAATGAAAACAAGGAAATGATTTTGCTATGAAAGTGTAGGTAGTGTCTACTTCGACGGGTAAAGAGCTGAGGTTGACATAGGGCATATGGAAGGTGACTGGCAACATTCTATTCCTGGACCTGATTGGTGGTAACAACGGTTTTGCTTTATAATAATTCATTAACTCATGCATATGTTTAGAATATTTTTATATTTTGTATTTTATAATAAAGTGATTAAGAAAAAGGGAAGGAAGGAAAGAGGAAATGAGAGATTTAAGATCAATTGCAAGTAAGAACCTCACATCATTTTTTTTTTCCTAACAAACTATATAACAAGTTATGAAAAAATCAAGGAAATTTAAACAGAATATTAATGACATCAATGAATTATTATTGTTATTTTAAATTGTGATAATTGCACTATAGTTATGTTGCAGAAGGGGTCTTGTCATTTAGAGATACACATAAATATTTACAAATGAAATTTTGCAATGTCTGTGATTTGCTTCAAAATAATCTTGGGCTGAAGTGAGGGGGTACAGATGAAATAAGACAACTCAAATTGGTATTTTTGAGGCTAGGTATGGGTATAGGGAATCAGTCTATATTCTCTCTATGATTGTAACTTTTCATAGTAAAAATCATAAGAAGTGATTTAAAGAGTAATAGCAATTTTATTCAATAAGTATAATATATCCTCCATATAAAAAATGTGTTCATCTAGTTATCAAGGTCTCTTAGCTCTATTTATTTTTTCTATACTTTGTATATTCAATGGTCTGAAAAAATTAATTTTATTTTCTTACATATTCTATAATAATTTTCTCATTTTTTAATGCATTACCTCTTCCTGGAATGTCCTCTTTTCTTCCTTATAACAGATCAAATTCTATTGCCTCATGAAATGTTTCATGTTGTCTCCAGCTAAATACAATTTTCCCTCATATAATCCCACAGCTATTTATTTATGCCTGTTTTCATGTCACCTTTTACTTTATTGTTTCATAATCATTCACTCATGTATACATTTAACACATATAAGTTATAGATCAACTGTATTCCTTGGTAGGGGTTTGGGGGAACACAGTAATGAATGAGATATATGTCCTGTCCTACATATTTCCAAAGGATCTCACAATTTAATTGACAAATTTATAAATAAGAATTCTATTATTATTGAAATGTAGAATTCTATATTCCACAAGAATGCCAAAGAGAATTTATTGTTGGTTTTAAGAACAGGGAGAACTGTACATGCTTCTACTCTGTGAAATGGATAATTTCTTGAGGGCGAAGTTATGCCATACCCATCTCTGTATTTTCAGTGATTCCCATATTTCTGTTTTTTTTTCTGGTTAATGTCACTGCTATTAACAAAAGTATGAAATAGCAAAGGAGGAGCAGTTGTGGGGAGCAAGTGAAGGATTTAGGTAATGTGGTTGAGTTAGAGGTATCTGAGAGACATCCAGGTGGCAGTGACAGTAGTAGTGGCTACAGGTGTGTGAATCTGGAGCTTTAGACGAAAAATCAGAGTTGGACAGAGGAATAGATGCATTTGTATCAGTGATTTTCAACTTTTTTTCATCTTATGGCACATACACTAATTTCTAAAATTCTCTGGCACCTGACCGGTGTGGCTCAGTGGTTGAGCGTTGACCTATGCACCCAGAGGTTGCTGGTTCGATTCTCGGTCAGGGCACGTGCCCAAATTGTGTGCCCAATCTTCAGTGGGAGGCATGCAGGAAGTGGCCAATCGATGTTCTCTCTCATTGATGTTTCTATCTCTCTCCCCCCTCCCTTTGTCTCTCTCTAAAATCAATAAAGAAAAAAAAAATTTTTAATAAAATTCTGTGGCACACCAAAAAATACATTATTTTTTTGCCAATTTGACAAAAAAATAGATATGATTTTGATCCATTCACACTGGACAACTATTGTTGTGTTGGCTGTTGTCCTTTTTTCATTTGATAAACTAAGGAAAAAGAGGCCAGTGCCCCTGACTAAATAGTCAGGGTTTGCATGTTTTGAAAATTCTTGCAGCACATAAGTTGAAAATCACTAATCTGTATGATAGTTGCAGCCCTAAGGACTAAGATCAAAATCTGGTGAGAATGTTCATGGAGTGAATGAAAGCAGAAAGCCTAGAAAGAAGACTGAGCAAAAAGTCATAGGCAAACCATCACCATGGTAGATACCCAATAACGTGCAAGTGACAAAAGAAACAGGTAACCAGCCATCCTTTCTGTTCTATGAAAGGTCAC